TAGGGGTTCCTCCCTAAACCCTAAACCCAAAACCCTAAACCCAAAACCCTAAACCCTAATAACCCTAAATCCTAAATCCTAAACCGCACAATAAGGTTTAGGGTTCAGGGTTTCCGCGCGACATCCTGAGACAGAAACACGTGGAGGCTCCATTGAAGAAGACATCTCAACAGAACCGATTTATAGGGTTGAAGGGTTTAAGTCTTGAGGGTTTAGGGTTTAGGTTTTAGGGAAACCCTAAACCCTAAAGCCTAAACCCACAAAATCCGAGGTAGCCCACCAACAGTGACGAGCAGATATCATCAGAACAAGCATTGAATTAGAAACGGGCAAGGCTCCCGGCCCCTCGGCGAGACAAAAACCAGTAAGAATAAGAATAGCAGCAAAGAGCAGCATGCATAGTGGTCTTAGAGATAGAACTATTTGGCACCCCCCCAAAGCCCACACCTTTTCCTGTTCAGGTACTACATCCAGTACTTGCTGCCTGGGTTCAGAGTTCGGGTTGAGGGTTCATGTCACGTGTGCGTGTCTGTCCTCCACACACAGACTGACATGGTATGTGTTTTCCTTCACCACTCATCCTCAAAGCTTGCGCCGGTACCAGAGTTTTTCGTGCTAAGCTCGAACCAGCTCAATACGACTGTTAGACACGAGGCAGTGACCTGTGGCTGAAGTGCGGAGAACACTTTGCAAAGCTCCAAACTTTTCAAAATTTCCAAAAAGGGCGCCCTTATATCGCAGACAGTTCCAAATTTTACAAAATTTCCGAATTGCACGTGAAGAGGCACGATGCTAAGCGCAAGCGGTAGCCTGTGTCGGCTGCAGCGTCGGAACCTGAGAGCTTTATGAGCGAACCCTTCTCTTCCAACCCATTAAGCACATATGCTACAATGTGGCTAGCGGGAACTGGCTGCGGTGGCAGCTCAGCCTGCACTTGCCCCACAGCCGGAAGCGGTGGCACCTGAAGTCGGCCAGAATTCTATACTCTGCACCCGTCAGTCCTTGCAATGTCTAGCGTGCAGCCTACATGTGCTGTCCGCCTGCGGGAGCGTACCATTGTATGCTGCCACAATGTCACCGAGCTTCTTCTGCTCCTCCGGAGTCTGCAGTCGCGGCCTGACCTTGTGGATGGGTCTTTTTGGGGCGGCGGGAGCGCAAGCATGCATTGCAAACGAAACCTCGTAGCCTCAGGCATGGGCCTCGTCCGCCAAAGCCTGAAACTCCTGCTGACTATAATCAGCTCTACCATGATGGTCGGGAGAAGGCGCCACTCCGACCGTCTGCATGAGGGTGCGTAGCTCGCCACATGCGTTCCTTTTGCGCAGCTGCTTCTGCCGCTTGAGTGAAGCAGGCAGCGTGCTTTGCTCCATGGCGACCGTCTTTCGCTGGGCTGACCTACGAGGCTTCCTCGTACGCGGTGTCAACTAAGCACACTTTCACTTTGTGGCTTGTCATGTTGGGATCGTATTCGCGCCCGAGCACGCTTAAAAGCGTTGTCTACTGGGGTTTATGCCTTATAGGCTATAGAGGTATAGAAGGACATATGGGGGTGTTTCTCGGTCTATCACTGATCGTCGCGACTCTTACTGTCGCCGCTCATCACCACCACTAGCGACTTTCAGATAAAATCGGCATACCGATGGTGAGAGAAAGTCACAGGCTTTGAGGTTTAGGGCCGGGTTCATTAACGGTATCATGTCTTAGGGTTCACTACGAGTAACCTACAGTCCGCAGAAACCGAATTCTCTTACCTGGTGTTTGTCAGGAAAAAGGAATGTCTGACGGTGTAGGGTTTAGGGTATAATAGAGGGCCGGAGTCACTCATCGCCACCTTTGGTGACTGTCAGAAAGATGGAATGTCTGACGCTTTAGGGCTTAAGCTATGGCACAGGGCCCGAATCACTCATCGCCACCCCTGGTGACGGTAAGAAACATGGAATGTCGGAGTTTAGGGTTTAGGGTGTAATACACGGCCGGACTCACTAATAATACTATCTCTTGGGGTTCCCTATCCCCTGAAACCGTATTCTAGTTGCTAAGGCCCATTATATTGGCATATTAGGGAAATCGGGGTGACAGCCTGTCACTCATCGCCACCAGTGACGACTCTAACCGCCCTCACATGGACTTGGTTCTGCACGGGTTGTATGAGGCTGACGAGGTATGGAATTAGTTGGGTTTAGGGGCTGAGGGTTTGCGGGTGAATGCTTTAGAAAGCTTCGAAACAAGAGTCTGTGGCTCGACGCCTCAGAATGCTTTCTCTACTTTCGACTACCTGACGAGGTATGGAATTAGTTGGGTTTAGGGGCTTAGGGTTTGCGGGTGAATGCCTTACAAGGCTGCGAAACAAGAGTCTGTGCTCGACGCCTTACTTTCTCTCGACCTTCGACTACCTGCAGACAGAGGCCAATTGGAGTCAGGAGACCGAGGCACGGAGCACGGAGAGCAAGTTGACCTTGCGCAGACTGAAGTGGGGGACAGGCGACAAGAAAGAAGGAGACCTTGGAGTGCACTACTGTCTACCGTCTGTCCACACAAAATGCGGTCTAGAATTTAACGCATGAGTCTGGGCAGAGGCCCGGAGGCCCAGCAAGCCTACAAAAACCGTATCTGCAAGTCGATGCATCCAGAGTTTACTAGGATGCGCAGAAGCCTTCAAAAAACCGTATCTGCAAGTCGATGCACCCAGAGCTTCAGCGCAGTTTAAGATGCAGAGAGCGCCTTCGAAAAGCGTATCTGCAAGATGCAGAGAATGCCCTCGAAAAGCATATCTGCAAGTCGATGCATCCAGAGTTTCGGGCTTACAGGGTTTAAGGCTACGGTTGAGGGTGCGGTGCCTGAGCGATATCATCAGCTTGACCACTTCCACATAGCGGTCCTTTCAGGGCCACCACATTGGCAGCTGGTATGCGGTTTTCGATTTCTGGCTGGATGCTGAAATGGAAAGCTTCCCACATGTCAGCTTGCAGAGTTTGTCCCCACAAGGCCTGGATGGCACTGCTGTCGCAGATCGACCATTGCATACACGTACGCGCCAAGAGACGCGTTTACGAGAATTCTTCTAGACGTGATTCATGCTGTTTGTCTCATATGGTGGGGCCAGCAGGTGAATGCCAGCAACAGACTCACAACGACCACTTCTTGAGCTTCTGTGGTGCCGAGACGATCCGATACGTCCATGGCTACGTTTTGTTGCACGCACTCTACGCACCTACAGAGAAAGGAAGCTTTCTATTTCCTTCACAAGGGGGTCGCTGCCTCTACAGCATGCGCAGTCGAACGGCCCTACCATGAGCATTCTTGAAATTCAAACAGCAAGACCGCAAGGGAAATGCGATCTAGTCCCTATATAGCGCGTGTCACCAATACGGAAACTGCACCGGAGGCACACGACGTGGTAACTATAGATCTAGAGCTGACGACCTAAGCAGCACGTGTAGTGCACCGCACCATCAGCCAGTTGAGCTCCTCGACTGTGAGGTTCCCGGCGTTCTTGCGCAATCGTCGCTTTCTACGGGCCTGCGCGCGGCTAAATGCAGATGCATGAGGCAGTGAGGCAGCTACCCAACCGGAGTCTGAGGAGACGACCTCATTTCGCATTTGCTTCGTGCAATCCTTCAGCTCCTTCTTTAACATGGCACGCTGCGCTTTCAGCGGGGCAATCGAATCAGCAGGCAGGGGATCTCCTGCACGCTCCTGTGCGCAAACCGATCGCGTATATACACGAAATTACTAAGCCCCAAATTGCTGCCGGGGCTTGCACGCCTCAGCCACTGCACCGTCACCCGCACGCTCGGCTTCAACACGTCGGTCGACCGGAGGTGCTTCAGCCGTTCTAGAAGGCTAGCACTAGGAGGACCCCCACTTCCGTCTCAGAGCCACAAAAACTCGCATCATCATGGCATGATTAGCCACACACACCCATAACGAAACCTGTCACATCGCAGATTTAGGTTATACCATTTCCGGGTTCCAGAAGCAGGCCCGCTTTCCGGCCAACCATCGGGCTTCAGCATGATCGGCCCCTACAGTACATTGGTGCATGAGTTTATTAGTATATTGGCATATTCGTATGTTAGTATATTCGTACATATATATTAGTACACTAGTATACTAGTATATGTGTATACGACTATATTCGTATATCAACCTAATATTTCGTAGGTATATCCATATGTTGGTATAGTAGTATAATAACAAACCAGTATACTTGTATACTACAGCATTGGTACAATAACAGCCATGAGAGTATGCGTAATAGTAGTCGTAGGATAACCATTACTTATATTGTTCTTGGTATTAGTATAAATTATAAATATTGGCATTAGTATTAATCAACAGTATTAGCATTAATATTGGTATTATTATGATTCGATGGTTCGTACTCGCAGGCATATTTGTATAAGTCTTACTGTTGAGTTTCGTATTGGTATTAGTGGTAGCATTAATATTGATATGAATTTTAGTTCTTGTATCACTGTTGCTGTGAGCAGTTTGTATAAGTATTACTCTTGAGTTTCGTTAGTATTAGTCATTGATATGAATACTAGTTCTAGGATCACTGTTTATATGAGTAGCAATGTTCGTAGCAGTATTAGTATTCAATTTAACACCACTACATGATTAGTTGAAATTTTCAGACTTCTTTTTAATATCACTACCAATCTGGACATTTATCGCACAACAACGGTTAGCTTCATATTAGTGTAAGTATTCGTCTTAGTATTTGTATGAGTATGAGTAGGAGCATTAATATTACTGTTCTTACTAGTGCCATGTTTCCCTGAAAGGGCTCTCGTGTCCATGAGACCTGGCGGAATCTCTGTCCCGCTGCGATTTCTCGTGTTCTGTATGTGTGTGTGTGTGTCACAGAAGGCACGAATCAGTTCGAGCCTGGGAATCGCCGTGTGTCGGCATTGAAGCATAGCACATAGTCAGTGGATTATGATTATTTTCATACATTCTGCGGGCTTTGGGGGGGGGTCAGCAACTGTTTGTATCAATGGTCAAAATAGGGCCCTAAAGGAAACATACTAAAATCATAACAACGCCCCCTGAACCCCTACACCCCACAAAGGCTAAAGGGCTCCCTACTCTACTACTAGGTAAATACTTCAACCATCTTCAACCCTGAACCCTAAACCCGAAACCCGAAACCCTGTAGCTAGCAACCCACTTCAATATTATACAGTATTATACCCCAACCCCCTCAAGCCCTAAACACTAAAACACCGAAACCGTTAAAGGAGCCCTTATAGATCCCTTATAGGAACCCTGAAAAGGAATCCCTTAAAAGGAACCCGAAACCCTAAAACCTGCACCCTAGACCCTAAACCCCTAAAACCGAACCCCTAAACCCTAAGCCCTGAACCCTAAACCTAAACCCCTAAACCCCTAGACCCCTAAACCCCTAAAACCCCTAGACCTCTAAACCCCTAAACCCCTAAACCCCTAAACCCTAAACCCTAAACCCTAAACCCTAAACCCTAAACCCTAAACCTTAAACCCTAAACCAAACCCTAAACCCTAAGCCCTAAATCCGTTCTGAGGAGCCCAGGCGGTTCATCCTCCCGAGCTGGGCAGAAGGGTCCGAAGCCGTTGGCCCAAGCGGGTCGGTCCTTGCGAGGGTTAGAGGATCCTTTAAGGCTGCCTAGAAGGGTCGATCCTGGGGCCTGCGTTTGCGCAAAAGGAAGTTGTGCTCTCTCCTCTAACAGGGTATATAGGGGTTTAGGGTTTAGGGTTTTGGGGGTTTAAGTTTTGGGGTTTGGGGTTTAGGGCTTAGGGTTTAGGTGGGATATGAAGGTTAAGCATCCCAGGGATTTTCTTTCGCTTACTTGTCCAGGAGCCTAGAAGAATCGCTCTCTTCTTCCACAACCGGGCCTAAAAAAAGCCCAAACTTTGAAACATAGACCGTTTATATGTATACATGTATAAACGCATTTTTTCAGGTCCCACATACCGGTGTATGCATATATAAACGTATTGTTTAAAGTCCCATATACCGGTCCCCTGGTTTCAGAGACTCTCCCCTGCTACCGTCTGAAGCTCTGCAAAGCTCTGCAATCCCTCAGCCCTGATAGCATGGAGAAGGCTCACATGATCCCCAGAACAATGCCCCAACATACCAGGGCCTACTAGGGTTTAGGGTTTAGGGTTTAGGGTTTAGGGTTTAGGGTTTAGGGTTTAGGGTTTGATGTTCAAGCAGATGCCCTGTAAACAAGCAGCAGCGGTATAAAGTTCAAACTATCCTATGCCCTACTCCCTAACTGCCAAACGCTAGACGACTGACCCCGAACGTCCAAACCCCCAAACCCCTTAAAGCCTAAACCCCAAACCCTAAACCCTAAACCTTAAACCCTAAACCCTCAACCCAAAGCCCTAAGTCCTAAGCCCTAAGCCTCACACGGACCAGACGGGGGTTCGGGCACACAACTCCTTGTAGGCCACACCGGTCTGGTAGTAGCTTTCGGGACATCCCGGCGCCACAAGGTTCCTGTGGAAGTCTAATATCGGGGCCTTAGAAATTAGAATAGGGCTTTGGGCTCCTTTATAGTTATACTTATTAGAAAGTAGCCGTAACAATGATATTGGCAATTATTTAGGCACCTGTACTAGAAAGTGTTCACGGCTTGGAATGAAGGATTTGAAGTTTGCGGCTTGCCCGCGCGTTGCCTAAGGGGTTTAATGTAGGGGCCTTAAAAAATTCGAATATGGTTTGGGGTATCTTATACTATAATTCTAGTAAGGAACCCCCAAAATTGGTAACTATCAAGGCCTGGGGCGTGTGGGACCTTTGCGGCGTGAAGGCTTAGGGCCGAGGGTGTAGCGCAGTTCTGCCACAAGTGTCAAGGTGTTAGGGTAGGGTGTAGCGTTTACGGTTTCGGGCTGGGTTTAGGGTGTTGGGGCCTGTGGGGGTTTAGGGTTCAGGGTTTAGGGCCCAAAACCACTATTCTAACTATTAAGACCCCTACATTAGAGATCCTGTAAGAGAATTACAAACCCCTTTTGCAACCTGAAAAGTCCCGGTTAAGCATTGTTTTATGAAGTCTCTAACTATTAAGGCTCTCTAGTGCTTTGGCGATTGGGGGTTTATGCTTGCTCGGCTCATTCGTTTCAAGAAAGCTGAAGCTCCAGAGCCTGAAACCCTGAAGCCATTGTAAGCATTGTAAACCCTTAGGAGTTAGGGGTTTAGGGTTTAGGGTTTAGGGTTTAGGGTTTAGGGTTTAGGGTTTAGGGTTTAGGAATAGGGGACCCGAGAAAAATATAGGCCCTCTCAATGAGGTCCTTTTTGAGAGAGCCAAAGGTGGGGTTAATCTTGAGGGGTCTACCTAGGAACCCTGAGCCGTAAACCCTAAGACCACAAAACCATGCTTCCGGTGGTTTCCAAGTGTCGGGCGAAGTATGGTCGCAAGGCTGAAAATTTAAAGCTTAGAGTTCACAGGCGGGCACGATGGGATTGCGTTTGGGGTCTAGCCCAAACCCTAAACCCCATACCCCAAACCCTGAACCCTAAACTTTCCATTCCGCCACGGAGGTTGGGAATCTGTAGCAAGATACCCCCGTCTTGCACGGAATGACAGTGCCAGGCACTCCAAGAACTAGAACAGGGTACTGGGGCCAGGGTTGTTGAGTGTTCTTCTACTGTGGGGGGGGGCACTATATGACTGACCCTAAACCCTAAACCCTAAACCCTAAATCCTCTGACGGATTTACAGCATTGGGAAGTGCGAGCGATGCAAACTTCCGGTTTGTAGAACCACCACTCCGGTCACGCACGTGACCTCCCCCCAAAAACTGGAGGCTTTCTACATCCGTGTCCGTATTAAAGATGGGCCATTACGTGTAACAGTACCTCAGAACGCAGGAAAAAAAGACTTGCCAGCTGAAGGCAAGGCGCCTGCCAGTATCTTCCAGGCCCAGCGAAAGTATGAACCTTGCTCTTTGGAAACATGTTCGGATGCGATTCGGGTGGTGGGCTTTGGCTCAACAACAACTAGGTGTCGGTTTCAACTGTTCACAATTAGGGCTCTATATTTAGCAATAAGGGCGATTGACAATTATCCCAAATCGATACCTAGACAAGGTTGCGAATGGTGACGGCAGCGCAGGACCGGCTGTGGGAGCACTGACGGGCTCAAGATGCGAAGGGCTCTTCAGGGTTTAGGGTCTAAACCCTAATCAATAAACCCTAAACCCCTGAACCCTAAACCCTAAACCCTAAACAATAAACCCCTAAACCCCTGAACCCTAAACCCTAAACCTTTTATATAGGCTTCCAAGAAACTCTCGGGGCCAATCTAGTCCTCAAGACAACTCTTACTGGGCTTTGAAGCAACCAGGGAGAAAAACGTATAGACTTGTATTTCATAATGGTTCCTTTAAGGACCAGGTCCCCAAAAAAGTATAGACTTTTATTTCATAATGGTTCCTTCAAGGAACAAGTCCCGGAAAAGTAGTGAAGTATGGTACTCCAAAGCCCAGTCTTACCTCCGGCCGGTCCTTTTATGCGGCACCGTGCGAGGCAGCTCTGGTTGGGGACTCCATACTGTCGCCCTTCACATGAGCTCGGTAATATAGGGGGCCTTAATAATTAGAATCGGGTTTGGGTTACTGTATATTATACTAGAAATATAATGAGGAACCCCCAAAACCCTGTTCTAATTATAAAGGCCGCTACATTGCAGCGTTTTAGCTTCTGATTCGTAGGCCCCTAACATGAGCTAGGTAGAGAATTCTGGTTCATGAGTCGTAGTTGCCGATTCACGGCGTAGTTGCTGTTCGGCCTACTCCACACCCATGTGCATCGATCCGCCCAAAATCTAACATCCCTGCATGTCTGAGTATAGGGGCCTTAATAATTAGAATAAGGCTTTTGGGTCTACTATACTGTCATCACAATAAGGAACCGCCAAGATAGCATTGGTAATTGGTCCTATATAAAACGCTTAAATCTCTACAACTAAATTATTGTAGTCTAAATCCTCACCAACCCGAAAACCCAAACCCTACACCGTAGAACCCAAAATTGGTGGCTCGGTATTATAAGTATAGTATAATAATCCCCAAAAAACCCTATTCAAATTAGTAAGGCCCCTGTACTACACCCCTGCTGGGCGCATCACGGCCCCACCGCGGCCGCGAAGTCCTCTGGACTGCGCTGCTGCCGGCACCAAGCCACCTCCTCACCAGAGTCACAACCCTAAACCCTAAACCCTAAACCTAAGCACTAAGGTTAAGGTCTCTCAGGCTTTAGGGTCTAGGGGGTCTCGGTCTCGGCGATGCTGAGTACAACATGCGATCATCTGCTATGACACAGTCAAGCATAGCACAATTCAGTCTGGTATTGCATGGTTTCCTTTTTGGTAGAATATGATATTGCATAATGTAGTAGAACATGTTATGGTCTTAACATATAGTACAATGTAGAATAATATGCAATATAGGTCTCGGAATTTCGAGATCGCTCGGGGCTTAGAGGCCTACAGCTCCTGCCATGTCAGGGCTCCTCCAGTCTTGTTGAGCTTCTTTGAGGGATGAAGGTTCCCTAAACCCTAAACCCTAAAGCCCTCAAACCCCAAACCCTAAAGCCGTAAAGCCCTAAACCCTAAGCCGTAAACCCTAACACCCTAAACCCTACAACCTAGACCCTCAGCCCTAAATCCGAAACCCTAGAAAACCTAAACCCCAAACCTTCCTTGGTCCAGGGCCAGAGTCTCTAGCTGGCACTTAGGGTTTAGGGTTTAGGGTTTAGGGTTTGCACTTGTGGGCGGTGATTGATATCCCAAGTACCATATATCCCAGACCCCAAACCCTTAAAGGGGTGTTATGTACAGGGGTTGATAGGGGGCGACCATAGGGGATATTACGGGGGATGATAAGAGTTTAGCCTATCCTAGGGGGCTCTGACACGCGAGCGAAAAGGGCTTTGCAATGTTCTCTGAAGGTTTTATACGCATGTGTGGGGCTGGCTTTTTCTGGGGTTTACACCTTCTAGGTTCCCCAGTAGCCCCCAAGTAATAAGGGTACCCCTTTTCCTACTTCGTTTTACTAAGGGAACCTAGAAGAAAAAGGGGAAAAGGGTACTACTGGGGGACCTAGACTTCACGGGTTTAAGGATTAGGGTTTGGGGCCGGGCTGCAGGTGTCTGCTTCTCTTCCTGTCCCGCCTCTTCTGTGGAGGAGCTCTGGTTGAGCATGTCGGTGTTCACCTGAGGCGTCGGCGTTTCGGGTCTTATGGCTCCGGGAAGATGAGTATAGGGCCTTGAATAGTTCAATAAGGTGTTTGGGGTATATAGTATACTGATACTATAAATGAAGTAAGGACCCTCCTTCACACAAAAACAACAAAAGTGGTAGTATTAATCCTTTCGGCCCCTAGATTATTTGTACATACTTGGCCGCCGCCAACTATACAGTAACTGTTGAGCCCCAAGCTCTATCGTAAAGCGTAAAGACCTACGTGATTTTAGGGTTCCTTATCATGGCTTCTGTGCAGAATTCCTTTAACAAGTGGGTTTAGGGTTTAGGGTTTAGGGTTCAGGCAAACCTGACAAACCCTGATTTTCATGAACCCTCCGGATACAAACCTTGTAGCCTATGACACCCCCTGAAACACCCTGCCAACAACCTAAAAGACAAGCGAATGAACGGGCAAGAAAACCTTAGATAGCATTTAAAAAATCATAAACTGAAACATCCCTGAACCCTAAACTCTCGAAAAACCCTAAACCCTAAACGCACCCTAGCCCTAAAGCCCAGATATTATCTTTATCATACAGGTCCTTGACACCCCTAGTTTTCACAGACGTTGGAGCCTGACCCCCCTAAACCCTAAACCCCAAAGCCCAAACCCTACACC